CAAGGTAACTACAATTCAGTTGCATGGTATAGCACTTCAATTTCCCTTTCCCCAAGCCGCTAGATAACCCTTGAGAAACAATCCACATTCAGATTATGCAAATAAATAAGCAAAAGATGCACTTCTTGCATCACCACCCGCTCCAAAATCACCAAAACATCACCTCCAAAACAACCTCCAAAACCTTCCATCCGTGCACCCTCCTCCCCCAGCATGTGCCGAGTTTACGTGTACCTTTCTCGGGCCACCCCCCCCCCAGACCCCCTACCTACTCACTTCGTTCGCCAAGCGCAACTCAGCTGGTGCCTTCTACGAAGGCTGGCTTTCGTAATGAATGCAATGGTGCGTACTGATACGGCGCACATTCTCCTCAGCCCCGCCACACTCCGCGGGTTTCCCCGGGCTCCCCACCATGCGATGCGCCAAGTCTTTGGTGCTTGCGGCGTGCTGAGAGACCACCTGTGGCGCCGGCGGTCTCCGACGCGTCGAGGATGTCGACCGATGTGGAGGTGGAAGGAACTGGAAAAGACTGGTGGTGCTGACTGATGTTGCTGAACAGGAAGTTATAGGAAGTTAGGTGCTGAACAGTGGGTGAAAGCCCAGGGGCGTGTCCGGGTAGCTGGCTGGCGCCCCCTTATGGTCACGACCAGCCACGCGCTGGTTTCCTACGAACTCACCGGCCAAAAGCTCGACCATCCGTTTCGACCGTACGGGGTACCTGGACCCGAACTGGGTGTGTGGAGTCCGGAGGAGTCTGGAGTCGCTGCTCCTGCTTGCCTAGGATCTAGGACCCGGTTCGGTACGAAAACGGAGCCGACTGGGCTGGCACCTGAAGACCTATACGTACGTACACAGTGTGCGCCCCCCCCAACCACTATGTACGTGTATACACGTAAAAACCATTTCGTCTTCGGGTCCAGCATCACCTGTTTCACCCGCCAAAAAGACACAATGCAAAACGAACAGCGGAAAATACCACATCACTACCTGGAGCGAACCGGTCGGGGTGTGTCTGGAGGTCTCGAATTAGGTAGTGGGCTGGGGCGAACCCAGCCAGCCAGGTGACCCCGAACGGGTCCGGTGCTGGTAGGTACCTGATCCTTTTGGGGTCGGTCGGCGCCGGACGCCGTCACCGCAGTGCAGGTCGCCTCGAAGGTCTCCAAGTCCCAGCGGCCTTGGAAAAGGGTGGAGGGAGGGGAAGAGGAGAGTTCTCAAAAGGGTTTTGGAAAGCGCACCTAGGCCTCTTGAAGAAAGAAGCACTTATACAGCTTATACAGGTCGACCAGGAGAAAAACCTCGAACAAAGAAAAAGAAACACATACAAGCTTAAGGAGATGATACTGTTGATGGACAAAATCCTGCACCACCTCACCACTTTACCCTGGAAGGGTCGCATAGCAACCCCCGTGCCCCCTCATTCAATGTTGGCGCGACCCCTTTGAGGAGGTGGTGCAGGATTTTGGACCTTCAACTTGTTTTTGTTTTCTCACTCTGGTGGCCCCCAAGGGGTGGGGGACAGCAAACAGAGTAGAGCGCCATCATGACCTGGAGCAACCATGGCTTTGACTCCTGCGCACACAACGCAGCCGGGGACTACATGGCAACACAGTGCTCCACAGTGCCCGGACAGTGCTCCAACAAAGCTCCAGACAGTACCCGCG